AGGCAGATGGCTGTCAGTTATCTGCCAGAGGGATTCCAAAAGGCTGCTGAGGCCCACCTCACTCTGGCCTTTACTTCTGCTGGGTTTCTGCCAAAGTAACGTCTGTGAGGTAAACACAGAGAGGCCCACTCCATGAGAGTGACTTGTGTAGAGCCAAACAGGCAGCCACCGAGCCTGTGGCCCCTCATAATTCAGCTCATGGACAGCACTGTGGAAGCCAAGAGAACTCTCAGTCATCTCACAGGGCAGGTTTGATGTTTTCAAAATGATGCGATTAGTCATCTCTTCTGAGTCGAGAATGTATCCCATTCCTTTGAGCACCCTTTACCTTTTTACTCCTTCCTGGACACATCATCTGGTGAGAACACAACAGGCACATCCTCAAGGATGGGAGCATGGAGTGACGCTGACTCACTGAATTGCCAAAATATGTTTCCTGATTGCTGAGTTGTGGGCACACCTTTCTCTCTGCTGTTTACCCTTCTCAAAGTCCTTGATCAAAACTGACAGGATGTAGCTTCAAAACACAGCACACCCCAAATTGAAAGGGTGCCATCCCAGCAGCCTGGTCTCCGGACTCAATGGGCTATAGGTTCCTCATAACAGAACTGCTGAAACTTTCTCTGAATTTTAATGGTTGCCATTTAGGTTAAGTGAAAGTGCAGAAATTCTGACTGTTTAAGACATGTATGTATATAGGATCAACAGATGGAATTATCCAGAGTAATTTAAGGACACACTCAGTCTTGCCTTCCTGGTCTTGAGCTGGTCTGCAAGCAGGCTGGGCAGAGCTGGGGTCACAGAGTTGAGTTCAAGCCTTTTTCTGCCACTCACTACCTCTGGGATCTTGGTCAAGGGGCTTAATCTCCATGGAACTGAGGTTCTTCACCTCTAAAATGGGATAATAACTACCACGTCAGGTTCATTTGATAAAATTTGTAGTGTTACGGCACAAGACTTAAAAGTGCTAGGTTAAAAAAGATCCAGTCAACACTTATATGCACCTACTATATACTCTAGGCTGTGTACTGCGCTCTAGTCAACCATGGGCCACAGTTCACATTATAATCACTGGAGATTTGTGAGTTTATTAGGATAGTCTTTTTGTTTTGTTTTGTTTTCCTGGCAGAAATGTTTTCAGGAAGGTATACCATTAAAAAATTCACAAAAGCAACACTTAGGCTGGACCCAAGGCTGTGACAAAACTTATCGTCAAATGGGAAAAGGCAACACAGTTACTCCAAGTACAGTCTCACTGGTTGATAGTTGTGTTGAGTCTCAAAAGAGCAAGGGTCTATGAGGTCAAGGGGGGAGGAAAAGCGTTTCTCACAGAATGAAAAGCTAGTGAACCTTAGCAACAGTGGTGATTTTAAAACATGCCCATAAATTTCTTGATATTTCTTCCTTTAGAGGATGAGGTCTAACTCCTCTCTGTGAGTATGGGCTATATGTAGTGACATGCTTCTAATGAACTGAATGTGGTAGAGATGTGTGACTTATGAGACTGGATCATAAAAGGTACTGTGGCTGCCTCCTTGCTCTCGCTCCTGGATCACTCCCTCTGGGGAAAGCCAGATGCCATGTTGTCAGGGTTCTTGCCTACACCATGTGAGCCAATTTGTAGTTAGATTCACCAGCCCCAGTCAAGCCTTCAGCTAATACAGCCTGGCTGACATCTTGTATGCAGCCTAATGAGACACCCTGAGCCACAGCCATCTGGCTAAGCTCCTCTGGGATTCGTGATTCACAGAAATGAGTTAATAAATATTTATTGTTTTAAGTTGCTGAATTTTGGGGAAATTAATTATGCAGTGACAGATCACTGACACAGTGGTAAAAAGTTCCCAATGAAAACTTCCTTTGTTTGGAATCTGGCCTAGGGGACACAGAACATGAGGTCTAAAAAATTAGGATTTATCCTATCAGCAATAAATTCAAGCTGGAGGATGCTTTTACATAGCAGAGTGCCATGACAGAACTCATTATTATATCTTTAGAATGGAAATGGGATGGGAAGAGACTGGTTGTCGGGGAGAGGACCTTCCAGTTAGGAAGTTTTAGGCACAATAGTCCAGGTAAGAGAACATGAGAGCCTGAACTAAGATCATGACAGAGGGGGTTGGATATGGGAGGACTGTCTTAAAATTTGGTGGCTTTTCATAAAGAAACAACTGGTTTCTCCTTCCAGTTAGGAAGTTTTAGGCACAATAGTCCAGGTAAGAGAACATGAGAGCCTGAACTAAGATCATGACAGAGGGGGTTGGATATGGGAGGACTGTCTTAAAATTTGGTGGCTTTTCATAAAGAAACAACTGGTTTCCAGGACCACCTAGTGCAATTACGTTTCAACAGCATTGTGTGTGTGTGGAAAAAGTGTGAACTACCTGACCACTCTGTATTCACACATCTCACACTCATGCGTGCACACACACACACACACACACCACACACACACATGCACACACGAGATACTTCCATGCACAAGTAGAATGAGAATTTTGCAAAACGGACTTCATAAGTAGGAAATGTCTTACTCTTGGGATTTGATATTAAGTATTTGAAATGATCCTTACATAAACTCTAATTTTAAGAACAAAAAAGAAGATAATGAGCTCCCACCTTCCATAAAGGGAACAAAAAGCCTCATGTTTATCCATTTTACAAATAAGGCCACAGAAGACTAGACTGAATTACAGTGGGATGATTTATAGCCCTGTTGGAATGCAGATTAAATGTGGTTTTGAAATGTTGGGAAATTCAACAGACTCTATGACTGAAACAGCATAGGCAGTGATACTAAATTAGCTAAGAAGTACTCATCTCCCCTCAAAACTAGTTTCCTTAGGAAAATGACATCTATCTTTGGTATTTTAATAGCCCCAGAAAAAGATGGATCTATAAATGTTCAGCTATGAATATTTTAAATGGCCACATTTCCATCCTGATGGTGAGGGAAGAAAAAAAAAAAAGGAATCAACTTATTTTGAAATGAATGACATAAACTTATTTTCCTTCTGTTATCTTGAGTGTATTTCATCATCACCACCTGTAGCTGCATTTAAAAATGTTTCTTCTGGGAAGTAGAGTTCTAGTTGACCTGAAAATTAATCTGGGAGGCAGAAGGAATTCAAAATCAGTAGAGAGAGTTAAGGAACTGAATTAGATTTTCAGAAGGAAATTGTTTATGAACAGTAATATCTGGGAGTCATATCATTTGTTTCTGAAAGTTACATTTTAAATAATTCTTTTACATTTACATATTATATGGAACTTTTGAAGAAATATTAAAATAACTTGATTCAATAAATACTTGAGTACTCAGTATCTTAATAACAGGAGGTAAGTCATGCCCAAAAGAGGAATATGTTTCTTAAAATAAATGTGACAATCTAAGTTGCGAGGGGCAGACACAGTGTGTTGACCACAGCAGTCCAGTGCCTACCATGAGGTCTCAAATAGGGGGCCACTCAACAAAGGACCTACTGACAGGAACGAATGAATGAGTAGCCAAATGTCTGAACACATGGGATGTTAATGGTGTTGGGCTTATACAAATAAGAACAAAGCTATACATCTCAATGGGGTGTCTCCACTACAAGGACTCATAAATATTTACAACTGAAGAGTCTCATGGAAGATGTGAAAAAATTCTGACATTTTAAGAGAAGATAAAATTAACAAAAGTGTGAACTAAGAGAAAAGGCAGCATCTTTCAGGAACCTTGATGAAACTATTTTAGCAAAAGCACATGGCCACAGCTACAGCTACAATTAAGAACCCTGCTGTTTAGAATAATTGTGATAGGGTGAAAGTAATTTCATGAAATAATGTTTCTTCAAGGCTAACAAAAACCTGCTTCTGGCTCACAGTCCAAAAGTAAGCTTTTGTGGAGGGAGCAAAGAAGAGGACAAAGGGAAACCACCACCAGAGTGCCTGTACCAGAGCTATTTATTAGTGTAACTTTTTCTTTTGTTTTTTTCTTAAAGATTTCATAACAACAGAAGTATGTACAAAGTCTTACAGCATTTACACCATTAAAAGTTCTCTGTTAGCTGATGAAGCCTAAAGGAGTGCTGCTGAGAACTTCAGAGCACAAGCACAGGGCAAGGAAGCAGATCTGCACGTTTACCTCTCTGCTACCACATCACAACTGTCAGCTGCTGGACAGCCACCTCAACCACCTGGAAGACAGGTTACTGGGGGGGAAAGGGAGCAAGCTGTTTGCAGCACAAGAGACCACAGGGTGGAAAGCAACACAGTGGCTGTTTCTACAGTTTCCTAGAGCTGTAACAAAGGTCCACAGCCTGAGAGAGTAACATATGCAAGACAACACAATCGCACTGCTCAAATACGGTTCAGCTACCCAAAGTATTCACGTTTGAACAGGAGGCGCTATACTGATATGGCTGGTATTTCCGTTTGTGTTCATGTGTTCAGACAGCTCAGACCTGCACAAGCCCACTTCCCTCTCCCAAATAAAATCACAACAACCAAGAGAAGGGAGACGGGAGGCAAGAGAATGTGGAATTAATTCTTGGCCAAAAACAACTTTTTTTTTAAAGACATTTAGTATCAGCTTTAGGGTGGCCATTCTTGTCAAAGATTAATAGTAGAAATTTTGGGATCAATCGAAATCAGAACATCAACAAAACACTCCAATACCCAAGTTCTGAGATTTAATCACCTTCATTGTACCTGATTGTCTTTCCTTGGGGTATTACACAGAACCACCAACACTTAAACACTGAATTGGACCCAAAACATAGCATCGTTGACCCAACCATTACTTTAGTAAGTGGCAAAAGAATTTCAACTTATAAATGATTAGCATCAGGCTCACCACTTTCTTAGAAAACCCAACGTGGTTCTCTATCTTAGGTCAGTCACTGTATCTCTATCTGTATAGTAGGAGATCACATCTATTTTTCCATTGTTTCGGTCTCACACATAGCCAAGTTGGCTTTTTATTTCGAAAAGATTCTACTCTCAACTAAAAGCCAGTTGATAAAACTTTTAATTAAGACACAATAGCATGGGATATAAAAACACAAGAACCACATAAATATTGAAGAAGTTGTATACCGTTTTTCCTGTAAACAGTTTTGCTTAAGATTGAAGCCCTAATTAGATTCTGGCCCGAAACTTTTGGCAGATGACGTGTGTTCAGCCAGGCTCTGCAGCAATGGTTGACGTGGCAGCCAGGTCAGTCCCCATGTTGACAGGCATGCAACTTGGAAACATTGCACAAGCAACACAAAGAGTGTGGAGAAGCTCATGACACCTCAAGGAGACCTCACAACCTTCACAGCTTTGGGTGCACAGACAGAGACCCACCACCCCTCCCTCCTCTGCACGCACTTTGCCTTACACATGGGAGACCTTCTGTGACTCCCTGGCTTGTTTGATGCTATATAACCACTTGATGATCCTAGCATTTCTTTCGATGGCAGAAATGCCATATGGTACCCGGTCATTGGCACTGTCGTCATTTCTAAGGTCACTGTTACTGTCCTGAGACTGTTCACAGTCTGAGCTGATCATGCTTGCACTGCGGAAGTTGAGGGATATTATGTCGGAATTAGCCCTTGCAAAGTTTTCCATTCCCAGGTTTTCCAGCTCCTCGGGGTCCAATCCGCAGTAGTTGAAGAACCTCTCCACGTCTGCGTCCACCCGGAAATACCTGTCACTCAAGTCTGACTTGGAACGCTGGAGCGAGGGTCTCCGGCTGACCCCGCAGGTGGGTTCCATGGGGTCGACCTCGGGAGACTTCACGGCCGCGAGGGCAGCCCCCTTGGGTTTGGGAGGCAGGGGTGGGGCGGAGCTGCTGCAGGGGATCGCTTTCAAGGGCTTCCCGCTGGTCACCTTGCGGATGTCTGAGGAGCTGTGCGACACGTGCAGGAAGGACTCGGCTGATGGCTCCAGCAGCCTGCGGCCCACGTGGGAGCCGCCCTCCTGCGGGCTGCCACGGCCCTGCGTGGGGCAGACCCTGAGCGACTCGGCGAAGGAGTGCCGGTGCAGGTCGGCGGCATCGGGCCGGTGGGGCGGCCAATTCCGGGAGCTGTGCTTGTGGCCTGAGCCCGAGCTGGAGCCCTCTGAGCTGTTGATGATGTTTTTCAGGATCTCGAGCTTAAGGTTCTCCCTCTGCACGCCGCTCTCAGTCTTGGCTCCGCCGCCGAACACCTTGAGCGTCGGGCTGCCCAGCGCGCGCTTGGCGGCGGGGCACACCGGGGGTCTGGCCAGCACGGCTGGCTTCACGGGCTCCTGCTTGGCGTTGATGACCTCTTGGCTCTTGACGTACTTGGCCTTGTCCGCTTCCAGCCTCTCCACGGCGCTGAGTCTCTTGGGGTTGGGCTCGGCCTGCCTGCGAAAGTAGTCGGGCCCCTTGTTGAGGATGCGCAGGGGCACGGCTGAGGTGAAGGTGCCCGCGGGGCTGACCGGTTTCACCATGCTACCTGTCTGTAGGGTCTCCGTGGGCATGGTGGGTGGTCTCTCCCCGGCAGCCGTGTTGGATTCTCTTCTGGGCGCCTCCGGATGCGCTGAATAGACACATGTGCGTGAGGCACAAAGGGCAGCCAACGGATCCTGGAACCTTGGGTGTCAGCAGCCACGGCAGCGCCTCATCTCACACAGCTCGTTAATTGCCACTGTGGCCGGAATTCACTTTGCTCCTGTGCAGAAAGGCCACGAGCCACAAGTCCCTTTAATCTGCTTGGCTGCCTCTTTTCTTCTCCCCAAGGATGTGGGAGTCTCCCCAGGTCTTTGTGTTTAACTGCAGGCAGAGCTGAAACACAAACAACCAACCGCGGGTTAGGACGGGCGAGTGACATCACGGCTGTAGCAACAGCGAAGCCCCGCGGCGCCCGCGCCGCCGCCACGCCATTTCTAGGGGGCGATTCCCGGTCCCGGGAGGGGGACCGCCTGGCCCCGGCACCCGCGCCCCAGCCTACCGCGGGCAGACGCGCGCGCGTTTGGGAGAAAGGCGCTGAGATTTACCACGCGCCAACTCTTCCAGCTGCCTCCCCATTGGCGAGAACCACTTCCTGATCACGCCCAGGTGGCGTTACTTCCATCAAAACCCAGGAAATACGAGACGAATGTAGAAATGCGGGGTTAGCCCAGCCCCGTTTGCAGTTCATTAAATGCTGCTGGGTTCCTAAGAATCCTTCATCTGCACCTGCTTTAGGCTACAACACGGATGAATTACACGTCTCTCCTGCATCTTGCAATGAAGCAAAACTTCTGACTTCTTGCTACTCATCTCTCAGTAATACTTAACTTTAACTCTTAAAAACTTTAAAGATGGGGAACAATGGGATCAGCAGTAAAGCCATTTTTAAAAGTCAACATGTTTCAATTATGTTTTCACCAACCAGTTTATTTGAAAACACTTTCTCCTGGAAATCAATAATGTGTATGAAGTTCATCCCATTAATACAAGCTTATTTAAAAAAAAAAACCAACCTGGGAATACTTCTAGATCAATCATATAAGTATATAATTTGATTACAAATGCTCCATAATTTTTCACACTTAATGAGCAGAAATCAAGTTTTTTGGTGGTATATACTTTCCAAAATCCCATAGAGATCAAAGAACATCATCTTACGCTACTCATGCCTAATACATAACTTTACAGAAAACCTGTATAATAAATAGATAAGATAAGCATTCTGGGACTTATTCATGGCTTTCTGAACAGCTTGACCACCCCATCCACAACCAAAACCACTATAATGAAACACTCACCAATACTCCCAACATTAATCTGCAGGGAGTCTTTCTACTTAGCACGCAGTAATACAACATAGCACTTGGCTCTGCCTCCCTCAGAACAACAACCCCTCTTTGCTGGTTACTGCTGGCTGACAGCATTTAGAGTGCATGAGCATTTCAAAGTACCTCAGTAAAGACCTTTTCAGCATATTTGGTGATAATCACAAATATTAAGAGAATACCGTGTTCAACTAACATGTCAAGTAACTCATTTACAAAATAAATAAGGATGTATTACTATAAAACTGCCCACTCTCATGGTTAGAAAATGAAGTGTCTATTAACAAACTTGGGGTGGGGGAAACCTGACATTTCTCCTTATCACCGTTTAAGGCCTGAAACCATAAGTACACCTGTTGCTGTATTTTGTTAGAGACAATTTTGGTGATCTGCAAAAGGATTTGTTCTAATAAAAAATATTTTCCTATGCAAGATTTGGGAAGCCCCAGGTCAGTTCCTACATAACGATTTCCTTCAATTGTGCAGTTCTATTAAGATACTTGAGTTAAGTTAAAGAAAACTAACTCCTCTCATGAAGATTAAGTGAGATTGTTTCTTTGAACATATTTTGAATGAAATGCCAGTGAGGACAGTGACAATTCTTATGCGGAGCCTAGGCATCTGCTCCTCCACCACCCTGGGTGCATTTCTGCGGGAAGGTGAACTGGAGCCTGCCCCAGAGGGCTGCGGAGCCAGCATGGCAGCCAAGCCTGGGCTCAGAAGCACCCCTGGGTCACAACGGAGGCACTTGAGAGAGAAGGTTGCCTCCAGGACAGGCCATGTTTCTCCCAAGTGATGTAACATCTCCACTGATCACCTTTCGAGCTTCTAAATGTGTCTAAAGAAGGGCAGTGGCCATAGGTTTGGGCAGACTAAAAGCCAGGCCTGAGGTCTGTATCCATCTATCTGCTTTGTGCTTAGGGACCAAAACAAATCTCGGCAAGTGGGAAAATCGTGGGACAGGTTCTGGACCCTCGTCCCCTCTTCTGTGATATGGGTGCTTGCATGACATTCCCCAGATCTTTGAACGATTGAGCTACAGCTATCATACCCTGTCCCCAGCATTCAAGCTCATGCTGGCCTGCCCGACTGCCTTTTCTTCTAGTTTCAAGCCATTAGGACCTCACTTTCCAGCATGCCCTGTCTTTTAAGCTGAGCTCTGGCAGTGTTTGGGACACTAAATAAAAATCATTAAGGAATACCAGTCTATCTTCTAGTAAGTATTCTTCAGAAAGCTCATCCAATCCACCCTCCTTTCTTCATGAAAAAGGAGTGAAAACGAGTAAGCAGAGGCAGAAACCCTCAGGATGGCTCCTACAGACTCCCCCATTTGCTCTACACCATCCAACCTTCAGAAGCAGTTATTAGACACAAGCCAGTGTGAAAGCACTGTGTTTGAAAAATAGCAATTATTTGTAACCACTTTACCATTTTTTCCTTTTTCTTTCTGTCTCTCCCTCCCTCTTTCCTCTGTCACTCCCAATTTACCTAATAATTTTCAGCATGCTGATGATATTTAGAAATGATATGTTCAGACTTTAAAAGTTTTGACTTAAACTTTTTGGGGAGAAAAAAATGCATCGTCTTGGAAAAGAATCAAAAGCAAGAGAAAAAGCTATAGAAACTGGTGGGATGCCTCAGGATAATAAATAAGGCATACTCAATGTTTTGTACCTGTTTTAGCCAGCAAACTAATCCTACTTCAAAAATAATAAAGGAAGTTTAGGCTGCTCCTTCTCTTAATGCTTTCAAAATCTGGAACTTCTGCTCTTTTACTTTGCAGTGTTTAAACACTGTTGCCTGGGACAGAGCTGTGGAGTCTCAGAGCTTTGTGGTGTAGACTTTGCTATGATGCAGAACAGGTACATTTGAGAACACCAATCAAGTGGTAAATGACACTCCAGGACAGCCAGAAAGCTGAGGCTGTGTCTCGATGTTATAAATGTGATAACCATAAAGTGGGGCACAGGACCCTCTGCCAATGCAGCCCTGCTGATGCTGGAGTTCTTGTTTGCAGAGTTGAAGAATGACTTTTGCAAACACTCAAGGTAGGAGAGCCAGGAAGAGGCTTTTACTGAGAGATATAGGGAGAGGACAGAGCTCCTGGCTCATGCCAGGAGGGGACAAGAGAGCCCATGGTGGTGCCTTGTCCAGGGGTTTTACAGGCAGTTGAGGATTTTTGGGAATGTGAAAAAAAGCTTAGGGGTATGGACTTGTTAAGTGATCCCTGAATATTTAGACTTAACACAAGCAACTTCCTGACCTGATGATTTCTCCCTGAGACCCAGCATCCCAGTCTAGGAGCACATGAAACAAGGCAGCCTGCCCAGTCTCCAAGGTAGGCTGAGGTATTGTTTGCTAAAGAGTTAAGTCAAGAATCTCACTTCCCAACTTCCTGGGTGTTAATGCAATCCCATCCCCAGGGTGGAATCCTTCCTGCCTTTCACCATGCTGTCTACAGCTGGGTCTGCATGCTAAACCAGTTGCCCAGTTTGCAAAATCACCTCATCAGATCTGAAGGAAAGACAGCACATAGGCCTGGGCCTTTTAGCATGCTAAAGTGAATCCTACGCATGATTACAAATGATCAGTGTAATAAAAACATGTGCTACTCTTTTTTATCTGGGAAATATTAACTGATCTTACTGAAGAATGACTCTACAGCTTAATGTTTAACATGGAGTTTTGGTAGGAGGTTTCCTTGCATGTAGTTACATTGCTCTGACTGTAAATATCCTGCCTTGCTTTTTCCGGAGGCCCTGACCCACTCTGACTACACCCCATGGTCCCTGTCTCACTGCCACAGACCCTTGATACCTGGAGAGGTCACTCAGGCACAATCAGGCTCTGATGGGAGCAGGCTGGGAGGGGCTTCTAGTTCCTCTTCACCTTCTTTCAGGGAAGGAAAATTAGATCTCAGAGGCAGTTTCATAAACAAGAGCAATGATACAATCTTGCTTGGTCCCTGGTTTATGGCTAAGGAGAGGCAACCCAAGCCTGACAGCAAGAGAAAAATTCCATTCACAGACCATTCTGGCTGCGTTTTGTCCTGTTTAATATCTATTTGAAAATTTCATGAAGGTACAAAATGGACTGGAGAATAAAACTTGGCAGAGCTGAGGTACAAAATGGTCTGCCAGATGAGGGCAGACAGGAACTCAACAGCAATCTGCTCTGGAGGTGACTGTGGGGCAGAGCCCTGCCAGCTCCTTCCCAAAGGAGACTGCTTGTAGAGGGGTCATGTTATCTGTGTGGGAGTCCTGGTCTGCTCAGGGAGGCCTCAGCTGGGGACAGAGGGCACAGGGGTGAAGAAATGATGACTCTCACTCACTCTAGCCATCTTCTCAAACATCAGTGTGCCTGTGCATCTCCTCAGGGTCTGATTCAGTCTTTGGGGTGGGGTCCTAGATTTGGTGTTTCTCTCAGATCCCAGGTGCTGCCTAGGAAGCTGGTCATACTAACTTCAAATCTGCCAGCTGCTCATAGGGGCAGTTAGGTGAAGACCAGGACTCTCTGCTGATGTGTAATGTTGGGGAGACCCAGTATGCTGGGTCTAAGGGTACAGAAACTCTGGAAGCAGTTAGGGATGGAAAATGAGCCTCAATATATACATATATGAAAAATGCTTAAAGCTGAAGTTCTGTAATCCAGATAACATGTGCTTCCACATCTCTGAGGTCAGGCAGATAATGGGGGATAGTGACCTGTGTGAAGAGGCCTCCAACTAAAGACTGCCATGGGAAATGGGGGTTCGCTGTTGAGGCAGCAAATTCAGATGTGTGCCTAAACTCTCCCGATTTTAAAATTCAGTATTATAAAATACTATGGGCCAAGTGCCTCTGGTAAGTAAAAGGGGAGAATGCCTAATTAGTCTTTAAATTTTAAGTAGGAAGCAGCACTGAAGTTGGGACAAAGACTCTAGGATTGAACACAAACCCTGATTCACCCACGAAACTTCCTTAAGTAAGTGAAAGCTGGTTATTTCTCAAATGTGTTATGGCAGAAAAA